TGAATAAAGCAGAGTCATACTCAGTTTTGCTCCCGCTCTATTTTTAAATACGCAGTAGAGGTATTTAAACGTAGTAGAGGACATGTACCTGTATATAAAAAACGTGCCCTATAGTCCGGTGCGCCTTATGTGTGTGTTAAATACAGAAATGGCACACATAACTGAGAGTGTGCCTTTCAGTACGGTGCGCCTTATGGTCGTGAAAATACGGTACTCCAGGTAAAATATCCAGCCTTTTTGAGATGGAAAAGACAAGGCCTTGTCAGGTTTAAATATTAAAGTATAAGGTAGGGGTTTTTGCAAGTTTCAATGATCTATGTGTAAAATGTATTCTTACCAATTCAGACTACTTTAGGTATTTACAGATTTGCCACTTTATATGTACCAACACACCAGACTTTCCAAATGAACCAGAGCCTACTGTTTTGGATTGTATGTTTGCACTCTCTCGTGATCTAAAGGGCCTCATTTCTAGAATTCACTCCATAATCACCTCACAAGGGGAGAATATTTATGTTAAGGTGAAAGTTAAGTGGGATAATGAAATGGGAGAGGTAATTCCAGATAGCATATGGGAAGAGACTATGCACAGGGTGAATGGGACTACATCCTGTGCCCGTTTAGCCTTAATCCTGTTTAAAATCTTACACAGGATGCATTATTCTAAAGCTAGACTGGCAACAATATTGGAGACCATGGATGAAAATTGTAATAGATGCCATAGTGCCCCTGAAACTTTAACACATATGTTTTCGTCATGCCCATCCTTTAACTCATTTTGGTTTGAGGTGTATAAAACAATACCTGGAATCATAGGAAAAGATTATCAGCCTAATATGTATACCTCAATTTTTGGAACAATACCACTTGATAGTATAGATATCTCTAGGTTCAAAGATATAATAGCCTTTTCAACTTTGATAGCTAGAAGACAAATTCTGTTACACTGGAAATCGTCCTGTCCACCAAAATTATCTGAATGGATGTCTGATCTAATGTTGTACCTTAAATTAGAAGAGATCAAATATACACTAAGAGGGTCCAGTGATTGGTTTTATGGTGTTTGGAATCCCTTAATAAAATATTTGAAAAGCTTAAGACATTTCCTGAGAATCCCTAAGAGTAATGCAGCAAAATCTGATTGCCAAGACCTACAGAAGTTAAGCACATATAATAAATAAGGCTTTTCTCATTCTTTTATGTATGGTAGGAATATGTGTGCATATAAGCATAGACATTGTTAATTTGTATTTCTGTGTTTATGCTACACCCTAGTGGTTGTATTGTGTATCTGTAGTGAAGACTACTATTTATTTTATTATTTGTTTTTGTTTTCCTTTGCTTTTTGGTCTAAGATGTATATGTTTATATAAATGACTCACAATTTTTTTTTATTACTTTTTGATTTTGTCGGTAGGTGCACAGTAGTTCTGAAGGGTGGGGAGAAGGGTGGGAGGGGGTGTAATTTGTAATGTTGAAGAAAAAAAAAAAAAAAAAAAAAAACGTATCTTGAGCCATGAATGTAACTGTTTGTATTGTGTTTAATGAAACGAGATCTCAAAATCCTGGACGAATTTGAAATCTTAATCTTAAACTCAGAATGTTTGCTCAAGAAGACACATATTCAATGGATCGTCTTTTATTAAGAACCAAAGACACAAATCCAAACTTTAAAAATTTTTGTTTTATATAATGACTCTCACATGTGTTCGTGAACAAGATATACAAGTGAGTGAGAAAACAGCCCAGAGGAAAACTATTTAAAGCCCTGTCACACCTTGGCGATATAGCCAGCCTATTCCTGACATCCCAGAATCTTCTAAAATAATGTCATACGATGAACTTTCATTGTAGTTTTTCAATTTTGGGCATATACATAGAGTATTCATAAAGAGTCAAGAAATTATGTCCAACAACAGGGTCAATGTATCTTTTAGCTTTTCATTTCAGAAACGGGAATTAAAAACAAAAGGCGATTCGATTTTTTGTTTTAAAATACAATAAAGGAAATTGAAATTCAAAGTGTTTCTCTTTGCATTGTCAAGATGAATTTCAATTTCCATTTCGGGAAACAAAAACCAAAAATGCTTTCTACTCCATGCCACTTATATACACTACTCAAAAACATTTAAAGGAACACTTTGTAATCAGAGTATAGCATCAAGTTAACTGAACTTCTTGGATATTGATTTGGTCAGGTAAGTAGCAGAGGGGGTTCTTTAATCAGTTTCAGCTACTTTGCTGTTAATGAAATTAACAACAGCTGCACTAGGGGGGCAACAACGAGACAACCATCAAAAGAGGAATGGTTTTACAGGTGGAGGCCACTGACATTTTTTCCCCTCCTCATCCTTTCTGACTCTTTTTCACCAGTTTTGCATTTGGCTAGGGTCACTGTCACTACTGTTAGCATGAGGCGCTACCTGGACCCCACAGAGGTTGCACAGGCAGTCCAACTCCTCCAAGATGGCACATCAATATGTGCCATTGGTTTGTTGAGTCTCCCAGCACAATATTAAGAGCATGGAGGAGATTCCAGGAGACAGGCAGTTACTCCACCAGAGCTGGACAGGGCAGTAGAAGGTCTACAACCCATCAGCAGGACCGGTATCTGCTCCTTTGTGCAAGGAGGAGCAGGAGGAGCACTGCCAGAGCCCTACAAAATGACCTCCAGTGGGCCACTGGTGTGAATCTCTCTGACAGAAACAGACTTAACGAGGGTGGTTTGAGGGCCCAACGTCCTCTAGTGGGCCCTGTGCTCACTGCCCGGCACCGTGGAGCTTGATTGGCATTTGCCATAGAACACCGGAATTGTTAAGTCGCAACTGGCAGCCCTGTGCTTTTAACAGATGAGAGCAGGTTCACCTTGAGCACACGTGACAGACATGAAAGGGTCTGGAGAAGCCATGGAGAATGTCATGCTGCCTGTAACATCATTCTACATGACCGGTTTGGTGGTGGGTCATTGATGGTCTGGTTAGGCATATACATGGAGGGATGCACAGACCTATACAGGCTAGACAACAGCAGCCTGACTGCCATTAGGTATCGGGCTGAAATCCTTGCACCTATTGTCAGACCCTATGCTGGTGCAGTGGGTCCTGGGTTCCTCCTGGTTCACGACAATGCCTGGCCTCATGTGGCGAGAGTATGCAGGCAGTTCCTGGAGGATGAAGGAATTAATACCATTGATTGACCCCCACGCTCTCCTGACCTAAATCCAATAGAATACCTCTGGGACAGTATGGTTCGATCCATCCAACACCGCCAGGTTGCACCTCAGACTGTCCAGGAGCTCAGTGATGCCCTGGTCCAGATCTGGGAGGAGGTAGCCCAGGACGCCATCCATCGTCTCATTAGGAGCATGCCCCGACGTTCTCAGGCATGCATACACGCACATGGGGGCCATACAATTTACTGAATACCATTTTGAGTTTCTGCAATGAAATTTCAGCAAAATGGACTAACGTGCTGCATAATTTTTTCACTGTAACTTTTAGGGGTGTCTTTGAATTCAGCCCTCTGTAGGTTGATCATTTTCATTTCCATCAAATGATGTGGCATCCTTTTGTTCCTAATACATCACCCACTCCATATCAGTATAAACAGCATGATTTTTCCCTCCATTGAAATCTGATATGTTTTCAAAGTGTTCCTTTAATTTTTTTGAGCAGTGTATGTAAAAATACCATGCTGACAAAAATCTATTCCACGTTTTAAACGCAACCATAGTGCTACCACACAAGGACATGCTAGGCTTATATCCAGTCCATCTTTTTGCACCTACAGTATTCACTGTGTTGACAACAGCGAACTGAAGGATCTGCAATAGATATTGGAAAAAGACCAGGATTTCTGAGAATGTATTATGAGGTATATTATTTGCATTTTATCTTATCTTATCTGGACTGAGATTATTCACTTAATAAATTAATGAAGAATTTAAACAATCTAGCACTTAAGTATTTACTGAATTTAATGAATGAAATATACAGCAGCTAGCTTAAATTATTATCAAGCGTAGGATCACATCAAATGGTTTTGTTCTCTACATCTTGTACTTGTTTGTTCTAGTTTACCCACCTGATTTAGTCCAAGTTTGAGTATCTGTTTTGCTCACAAGTTAAATAATAATTGCTCAGTCTAGCTGAAAAATCTTCCGTTGGGTTTTAGGACTAATTAGACCAACACAAATCTCTGAATAGTTAAAGCTTTCAGATATGCCTCACATACAGAACAATTGTATTTTATTTTTCAAAAGATCAGCCACCCAAGAAAAGACCAACCACATACAGAGAGGATGTGCAGAACAACTCAGTTATCCTGGATTCAGAGGGAAGCCAACAGGGAGGTTCTCATTTTATTATTAATTACATTATTCATTTATCTTTATTTTGGTTCACTGAATATATTTAAAAACTGAATTTTTATCACATATACCAAAATTAAACATCCACAGAAATGCTATCTTGTGTCATGGTTAGTTTTTATAGAGCCTCATAGAGGGTCTGAATTGTTTAGCTGTTTTGTTCATTTAAAAAAAAATCTAAGAGGATAAGAATTAAGCTTTTTAATCCGTTGCCTATTACCAAATATTCATTCACAGTATAGTTTGCATGTGATTCGATTGCACTGGTTCCTGCATTAGTGTCAGGAATCTTATTAATTCCCCATTGTTTAGTTTACTTGAACTGCATACAATAACTAATAAACACAGTTGTGAAATTCTTAGTTTACAGTATATTTAAGATGTAAGTATTTTAGTAGGACCCATACTTCTTTACTTCCATTATCCAAAAATCACTAGAATAAAGAAAACAATGTATATTGTGTGAAAAATGTGTAAAAATCCCACATTATGTCCCCTAACAAGGGTTGCCTGTTCAAATTCTTTCAAAATCTCACTCCAAGGTTTGGTGAAAAGTTGGCAGCCCTGCCACCAGATATTAATTTACCTCCACAGATGATTTTATATTTTTTTTATTTCATCAAGGTTTATAAAATATAATACAAAATCTGTGCAGGGTATGAATAGTTTGGGGCCAAACGGTATGTGATCAAGCTTAATCTGAATATTATAAATTTGCTTCTTTCTTCAGATTGATTTATCTACTCTCATTCAACTCTTTAAGACTCTAGCAAAAGATCAGCCTCGAACAGAAAAAATAACTGATGTTAAATTTTGCATTTGCATTTGTGGAGTCCCCTCTAGTGCCCCCTCAAGGTTAGATAGACCAAGCATAACTCTTGGGCTTCAGCACGGATCCCTTATTGCTTCAGGGACCAGTGTTTTACCTTTAACCCTTCATTACTGAGCAAAATATTTACATTACAGTCACATATAATTATATTACAAAAAGAATGCAAAATAATTCAAAGCTAAAAAATAATATTAAAAAACAAACTATTGCACCTCTCATACGTTATTCAGTATTAACTTCATTCAGTAAAAGGTATCCTAAAGCCACTATGCTGAGGCACAGAGAGAGGGACTGAGAGACACTAATGGACACAGAGTCTCGGGCGCTGAAGAGACACGAGCCAACGTTGCCCACTCGGTCTATAACCAACAGCTCCATTTCAGGCGCACAGCAGGATGCAGTGTAGGACACAAGTGTTATGTTCCCAGTTCCAGCTTCCAGGCTGGTGTTGTAGGTACCATTGCCCTGGATGAGGCTGACACGGTCAACGCCCGCCCCGTTATCTCCATCAGTCACCCGGACATCAAGCTTCCATGTTGATGTGCTGCAGTTTTCAGGGCAGTTGGACTGCAGGTTGAGCAGCTCACAATCTGGATGGGAAAAATCACCATTCTGTGGGGTAATTAGAGGTTGGTTGAGTGTTTTATAATTTAGGACAATTTTTACAAACAGGATTAACTAAGTCTGTACATGAAAAGTATAGATGGTTAATTGTTGTTTTGTTAATTCAATTCAATTCAATTTAAAAATATTTAGGCAAATTAATTTCATTATTTAAAATAAATCAATCTTTATTATCTTTTTTGGGAAAGCTTGTAACTGACATTTTAAGGTAAACTTTGACGTAAGTGAAAGTGTTGTATTCTTACCGGGTTTAATATAGAAAAGCGCAGCACGATGTAGTTGGAATCAGTTCCATCCGGAGTTTCTGCCTCGATGGTCAGGATGACATCAGAACCTGACGGGGTGTTTGTGGGAGCTGACAGGGTCACTGTGCCATTAGTGCTGTTCCCACCTTCCAAGAATAACATGCTTGGAGACGTTAAGTCAAAGCCTTTATTGTTGGAGGCTCGGATGGTTACGTTTCCATCTGATCCGGTCCATGATACAGTGAAGGGCACAGAGACCGGTGTCCCTGGTATCAAGGTGTTTTCTGAATCAGCCTGAATACAAAGAAAAGCAGAAAATTTAAAGTTAATTTTTTTATTACTTCTCACTTTCGGTCACTGTGTTCATAACAAACTTTTACTCACAGTAAGAGTCAGATTGGAAGCTCTGAAGTTAGTGGATGACTGTCTTTGAAAGTCATTTGAAGAACCCTGAACTCTTCCCTTTACCCGAACTGAAAACTCCACTTCTGGCATCACATCGAACTGGACTAAATAATCTCCGTTCCCCTGTGAAGCAACAGCTCCTGTAATCTCCTCCGATCCAGCTGATGATTCCACCAGAGCAACTTCATTCACAGTAGCAGAGTCACTTCCTGCTATAGACACCAGCAACCTGCCCGTGACACCTTTAGAAGAACAAAAAAGGTACATTAATGCTAATTTAGTGATGATTAAAACATTCAATACCTAGAGGTGGTTTTACCTGCTCTGGGACGTGTGTCTAGAGTATCAAATCCACCAAAAGGACCCACAGATGGCACAACGAAGTCAAACAAGACGTCAACAGAGCTCTGGCCTGCAAACACATAAAATTCTCAATATCAGTCATATTATTGGCCAACACCGTGGCCACCTCTACCAGGTTGTTCCTATATGGATCACCACTTATAGAAAGAGCAGTTTAACTTTAAAATAGGGAATTGCAGCTATAAAAATCTCAAATGAAAGGTTTAACTTATTTGATATTTCAAATAGTTTTATTCTGTATTTGGTTAGGGTTAAGGTAAGGGTCTGGGTTAAGCCATACAAATGAAGAAACATCACTATACCACATTCATGTGTACAGTTGATTTGCGCTTTCCTTTAAGAAATAGATACAATTTTTAAGTCTCTCACCAATAACTCTTAGGGTGTAGGGGTTAGTGGACACCATTTGTATTCTCCATTCTCCAACTTGCTTTTGTAACTGTGCCGTTATGAAGTTCCCCACAGTCTCCTGATTAGTGATGAGTGAGCCTGATGTGTCTGTGCTTTGCTGAGATGCACCTGGAAGTATGGACAACAATGGGCATACTTGAGTAAATATTGAAACATCGGTTGCTAAGATACTATTAATTGTGTAGCCTTTAAAAGAACTTTGCAGAGAAAGCAGAAGATCTGTTTTGTTTTTTTGACTCTGTAATTTTTTTTTAAAGGTAGTTTTACCTGTTGGGCTTGTGAGTGTGAAAGTGACGGACTTGCCGGTAATGTAAACTCTCAGGTTTGTAACAGTTTGATCAACTATAAAGGTAAAACTATCCGTCTGTCCTGGGCTCCTGGATGCCTGTAGCAGGGTCACCTGAGAGATCACAGTAGCAGCTTAGTCTAGAGACATATTTTACAAAGAACCATGTTGACTTGTGCAGACATTACCACAGAGGAGCTGGCAGACTGGGCAATGATTGCTGCTGCAACAGGAAGTTGAGCCTTCGTCACTTCAATGGCCTGACCTCCTGATGCATGAGCCAGGTCTCTGTACAGCTGAGCTTCAGGCTCATTGATCGCTCTTGTCTGTGATTGCTTGACGCTTCTCCTCTTGCGACGATTAGTCTCTACTGTGTCTGTAACCATAAAGTTGACCTGTAACAAGAAAACAAATATTTCAACCAAAGCAAAGATAATCAGCTTAATTAATCATTGCTAATGCCAATTACAATGCTTGTCATTGGTCGCTCAAAATTTCACCTCTCTCTCACAAACAATTTGTGTCAAAAATATGGTGAAATTTCACCTATCTCGCTTCACCATGTGCTCGAATAGGAGATTGTCTATTCAAATTGGCATAGGCGATTGTGATTTTAACTACTTTTTTCCTGATTGTCTGGACCATTCCTTTGTCTTCAAGATGCTCCTTGCTCTTTGCTCCAATCTAAAAACCTTTCAATATTTTTACAAAACACAAGTCCACTATTTGAGGAGCCTAAAATTAATTTACTTAGCTGTATCAAAGTGAAGAGGACGATTACAAGAAAAGATTAAATCAGTTTTTGTGTTTCATATGAAAAAATGGAAAAAAAAAACAAAACAAATGATGATCTCGAATCTTTACGATCTCTTTACAAGGCAATATAACAACATTCAATATTATTATGCAAACAGATACCACTGTCTGGGTCCGCTCAATAAGGGCGATCACTGTGTTCTTCAGTTGTTGATCTTTAGCTGGTGCATCCGTGAAGAGATAGATCTCGGAGCTGAACGGAGCAGAAGTTAATGCCAGCTGTAAGACAAAACATGCATAAAATAAAGATCATTTTAATTCAATCCATTTTTTTGTCAGCAGGGTTAAAAACATTTGAACACAGACAGCATTACCTGTAGCCCAGAGAGACTCATTTCCTCCTTATCTCCTCCACCAGTAGTTGTTAAACTATCAACAATATTTTTGAAAAGGTTTGCATCTGATGTTCGAATCAGGGGCCCAAATCCTTCACAAGCAAAACAAGAAATCAGAAATTGCATTTACAGTTTGAAAAGCTTGCTAAATTCTTCAGCCTTACCTGGATCGCTGAAAGGTACGAGGATGTAAAGTGATGGTTCATTCTCTGTTCCCTTATATCTTTCAATGATGCTGGAGGTGACGGTCTTCACCACTGCAATGTCATCACTCATGCTCTTCGAGGTGTCAGTGACAAAACAAAGAGCTCTGCTTGATCCCCTTGCGATTCCCACCATCCTGAGGTAAACAAATAGTTGGACAAAAATAAGACAAAAACCAACAACAATAATAAAACATTGGTCCATAATTAAACAACTTACTTTAGGAAAGATATTTCTCCTGCTGCCAGTCGAATGTCCTCCAGAAGCTCACTGGTTGCAGCAATCGCCACATTTGCCGCTTGTATGTGGAGATGTCCATGCTCAGAAGTGAGGGTATCTTTGTTTATCCCTCCCTTTGGCTCTTGTTTACTAGTCTGATCATGGAACCCTCCATGACTGCATTTCCCTTTGATGAAAAAGGGAGAACTGGTGAGTAATTTCTCACAGCTAGGTCCCCTTTTGAAAAATTATAATTAATATGCTTACCTAGATATTATTAAAGGGTGCCATATCTGAAATTTATATATCTATTGTATCTAACAGTAACCAAACCCTGCTCAAATTTGTTCAAACTCTTTAGTGCATGTTTCCATTGTGACATTTTATTTTTGGTGATGACAGTGAATTGTTTGTAGTCAAAGGGCCTTCTTCATATAACCCCAATCTTTGGGGTTCTTTATCGATTCTCTGTCTGAAAGTATTTGGGACTCTAAAACATTAATGCTACTTCCTCTCAGAAGAAGCATGTGTGTCAGATTATATTAACACTGCATACTCTGAGAGTGTGTCAGACTGAGAAAACAGAATGAAAAATAAATCTAATTATAATCACATACTGAAGCAGCAAAACCGGCTAAAGGAACAGCCATGACAGGACAGAAAGTGACCTGAGGGCAAACAACACAACTAATTACTATTGCAAAACTGGATTCTTTGAGTATGCTCAGAACGTCAGCTGAACTCATATTTCAGAAACTTGTCATTTCTGAACTTAATTAGCTTAAGAACTGAAGATACCAAAATGAAAATACTTCCTCCAGGTTCTGTTCAATAAATCACTCCAGACAGGCAGAAAAATAGAAACAAAACAAAAACCAAATTGAGAAAAATAAGCAACGCTTCAAAGTCAGCAGGATCCTTTCAAAAAGCTCTTCATTACACATAAATGTGATCCTGAAAATTAATTTATTTCAAGACTTAATTAACACTTTATTTCTCATCTAAAATCATTTAAACAGTTGAAAACCTTTGTTTTAAAGATTTAATCAACTACACTGATACTGAAGGTTTTACAGAAATTGTTATTTTGAGGGTTATGTATAGTCGTTACAGAATTTTAAACGTTTAAGCATTTCTTTTTATGAAATTGTATGTATCTCAAATAAATTATTGATCCTTGACCTGACCTTCCCAATGCTATCTAATCTCATGAGTCCCTGAAGCAAAAAATTTAGAAAAGATATAACTAATTAACTGCAAACAATTAAGTTGGATGAAAAAAATTGAACATCTCAAAGTTTATTTCCAGCTCTAACTTTATAAAACATTTCAACACTAATTTGAAGGATTAATATAAATCTTAAGTGAGTGATCCAGTTTTTCCTCATGGTGTTTTTAATTTAATTTAGTTGTTTTGAAAGCATGAATTTTAAATGCACAATACAATACCAAAAGTTACTTTGATGACTGTAATGTGATGGACTGAACTGGGAGTCCTGTCTCTGCTGTTTTTAGTTTTCTCTCTCCAAAGACAGTACTACTGCTTAAAAAAGGGAATTATTAAACATAAGAAAACAGGACAGAGCACAGCATCAGTGTTGGAATATGCCCCTTTCTGGCTACATCAACTGATCATTTTACTTGAACATAATCTTTTACAGTTGGATCTAACATTGTCTAATTTGTGTACTGATTTGAAATTAATTTTGACTGAGCTTGAAAATGATTGACATTTAATTTTTAATGTGAACTGAACTTTGTGATTGCAGTCCAAAACATTCCAAAAAAGGTAAAAAAAAAAAAAAAAAACAGTCCACTGGACTTTGTTTCCAAATTTGAAGATGTTTATCTTTCTATACAGGAAGCTTTTTCAAGTCAAAATGTCAGAAATGGCGTTGAGTTCGAGGCTTGGTAGAGTGGATCAAAAACAAAGCCTTGTTTTGGCTTAGTTTTCTGTATAAACCCATGTTACACAGTGAATTTCTGCCTTAAAATCTAACTCTTCCAAAGTAAAACATTTCAGAGTAATCTTGCTTCAGAAATCTTAACACTTCACTTTAAGGTGGTGGGAAAAGCATGGGAAAGACATTTAGGTTAAAAAATATAAACAAAATAATTACTGTTGATGATTATAAATTGAACATTTCTTTAATTGTTCATTTTGCTCAAAAACTGTTCTTCTAATAATGCCTCATGACAAAATTATTAAAAAAAATATTACACCATAATTATAGGAAAACAATTTTTTGTTTTTTGTTAATAGAGGAAAGGATCTATCTTTGCAACACAAGTCTTCAAGGGATTACAAACTAGATTTTACTTGTCAACCAACAACATTAATGATATTTATAAATACAAATACATCAGAATTTACCAGGTGGTTTGGTTGAAACAAAGGGTACAAGCCCTGAGTATCCAGAGGTCAGGATCTCTCCCTCTAGGATGTCCTCCAGAATATTGTTGGTGCAGTCGTCTCCATCACAGTTACGACACGTGGCTCTGTTTATATCTGATAATGGGTAAACAAATGTTTTACTTTCCATTTTAAACCTTCTGTTCCAACATCATTCAAACTGCATTCTTCATCAGTGTTATCAGACATTCTAATTGAAAACTCAGCCATCAGTTCATAGCATCTCTTTACCTGCTATGTTACCAATGCTGCTTTCTGCTCTGATCAGATTAGAGTTAGGGACTGTTTTTCCCATCTCCACCCAGTTACTGTGACTGTAGAAGTCCTTCATTGATAAGAGAAGAAGAGTTACCATTCAATCTATAAAATAAGTTTACTCTTTTAAAAAAGCAAGGGATGTTACTTACTTGCAAAGGATGCATAATCTCTCCCAGTATTTGCCGAGCAGTCTCATAATTCTCCATCCTGTTGCTGGCTTTGACAGCAGCAATTCCCTCTGTGATGATTCCCTTTCCTTGAACAAACATCTCCTCATCAACGTGATAACTTGAATTGAAGAAATATCGGATGTCCACTCGGATGTTCCTCAGTGTGATAGACTTTATGGCTTGGCTGAAAGTCTTCAATGACTGTGAGGCACCACAAGCAGCAGCCACATTTTCTGCAGTATAAGGCTGAGCCTATTTGGGTACATTTGCAAAATGAAAGCAGAATTATAAAGAGATACAATCATTGTTTAGAGAGAATAATATAAAGGCTGTAAATTCCTACTGGAAAATTGAAGTTGACTCCTTCGGCCACTGCCAGAGCACGGCATGTCTGCACAGTTGCATTCAGAATTGCTTGTTCTGTAATTTCCTGGTGGTTTAAAGAGTCTCCTGGCAATATTGCAAAAGCATGAGCTCCAATGTGTAGGAAGAGGAAACAAAACACACCCAACCACAAGCGCATCATAGCTCCAACTTTTGCCAACACCTGTAATTAAGATAATTTTCATTATTTACTTTTTTAAACACTCAGTTATGTATGTGACACAGATATTGCAAATAATTCTATTTGAAAAGTTTAAATAATTTCTACTTGACTCAATATTTAATTACCACAGATGTTCTCCAGAGGAGATCCATTATACAATTAAAAAGTTCAGCAACTGAACATTTCTGTTGAAAGACATTTTTGGCCCAAAATTAATTTGGAGCAAATTTTAATTACTTGTAGATTTTAAACTACAAAGGGTCAGATGACAGTGAATCTTCACCAGAACGTTCCAAAAGCTTAATTTGGAAAAGTTTAACTTTCAAAGTTACTTTTATGTGTGGTTGCAATTGTTACCCTGTTAAAACACCCAATTGTCTCAAAGTACAAGTGCTGGCAAAATACACTTTGCCATTGCCTCACTCTCTAGTGTTGCTACATGCTTGCACTAAGAAGAACTGCTGCAAAGTGAATAACAATGTAAGTGACTTTTCAGTAGCTCTATATGATCAAACAGGATGAATAAATTTCATGAATCAATGAGGTGATGCGATTGGTTAGGTTTCCTTGGAAAACCTTTTATCAGTTTGGCTGCCTTGCAAAAGATTAACTGGTACATAAAGGAAGTGTCTTCTGCCCTAGCTCCCCCTCAGACTAAACCCATAGAAGTTTAATATCAAAATCAATTGAGAGGAAGATGCCAAAAAAGCCCTGGTACTTTGTTTAAGAGGTTTAAGCAATCATATTTTAATTAACATCATAGATAGGTCAAAATAAACATTTAAACCATTATAAAATGTTTCAAACCCAAGAATCGGTAACTCATAACCAAATATTAAGCATGGTAATGTTAAGATAAATCTAAGGATAAGATTCGTTGACTGCCCTGGTGTAGTGCACAAAGTGAATAGAATATCAATATGGAGGACTAATCCAAATGTTTCAAATTTTGCTTCATAGATAGGTGAAACTTGGACACAATTGGCTGTTTTAACTAAAAAATATATATAATAAAACCACATCTTAATTAGATTAAACAGATATTGGGCTGTGCAACTGAGTCCAACAAACATACATTATTTCTGATAAGAAAAATTGTGAAATGTTTACCAAGGGTTATACAGTAGCTGATAATGGCTTTAAAATGGCTTGTGTTTTCTTGCAATTTTTCTAGGGAACTTGTCACCAAAGATTATTCAGAATACATTTATATATTTGAGAAGGGATCAGTCAAATCTACCCATTATTGTAAAAATCTAATTCAAACATATCTGCTCATTTTGCTTTGAAGTTGTATATTGTTTTATTATAAGAAAAATACATACAAATACATACAACTAATAAAGCCATAAATGCCATATTGCGATAAATTATTATGACATTTATTTTCAACAGTTTGTTATATACGATTATTTTCTTACCAGAATTCTGAACACCTTTTATTCCTCGTTAAGTTGGTTCCAGCAATCTCCAAAACAGCTTGAAGAACCTACATTAATCCAAACAATTCAAGTCAGGTTGAAAAAAACATGTGGATAATGAACTTTGTTATATATTCTGTTAGCTGGTGAAAGCTTTAACAAGCATTGCAAATGTTAATCTTTATAACTCAGTAATTTATTTGTTTTTTCTTTTGCCTCTTTTGAGAAAGATCTAGTAGTAATTTAGAAATGTTCTTTTACAGAAGAGGCAACTTTTATATTTTCTGTGTTTCAGCTAAGTTAAAGGAAAAGCTACTCACCTTGATGATGTGACAGTGCTTTTTGTGTCAACACTTTATATAGGTCTGCTTAAAGGAAGATTCACACTGAACCGGATCTACTTGTTAAAGCTGAGGGTAAAGGTGGAGTTATGCTGCCCTTTTTTCTCTTTTCATTGTAATTATGCAGTTATGCAGATTTCTAATTTTGTGTCTCATTTACCTTTCATAATCAAATGGGCATCAAGTGTTTAACTTAAAATCTGAATGCAAATTATTTAAATACAAAGGTTATCTTTGTTTTATATTCTGTTAAGAAGGAGGAAAACAAACTACCGTAAAGGTGGCTTAAATTTTTTTTTTTTACATTTGTTTGTTTTTCATGGTTTACTTCATGCATATTTTAAATTCCTGCTTTAGCAGTTTCCATAGATTGTTGATAGGGTAAAGAATGAGTACTTTCCTTTCGCAATGCATGGCGGTTGTTCATAATGAAATGCTGACAGGTCTCAAGATAATTTTATGATTCATCTTTTGAATTGTAAGATAATTATCTGCAACAGTTGCTGGGCAGGATCCATATCTGGATGGGTAGGACAAATGAAATTTCACTTTTGGTTTCTTATGAGATAAAGGTTTACATTGCAACATGATTCAGATTGATTTTATATTTCCACTCTGTTGTCAGAAAATTTAGATTTCTATTCTATTTTATATTAATTAATCCTATTTACTCACTATAAAGGTTTTCACTCAGTCTGTTTCTCTCTCAAGGCCACACAATTCTCCACTGGATGGTGTTTGTAGACCAAACATATCTTCTTCCAATAACAAACCAGATTCTTTCTCAAGGTTTTTCATAACATGTTACTATTAACCAAAGTGTCTGTAATTTGTTTTGACTCTGACTAGTTTTCCATTGTTGTAAGTAAGGGGGAATGAACACTGGTCATGCGGAACAGGGCAGAATGCTGTGCTGTATGATGAACTGTTCTCTCTTTGCAAAGATATTAATAAATGTGCCGACTGAGTGGAATCCATCGATCTCCATTTATTTAACTAGGGTGAATAGTTGAATACTTTTTTTCCCACTACAACATAAAATATAAGAATCATGATGAGAAAATAACTGAAGACATTGAAAAAACAAGCTTGGTTCGGTTGTTTTTGTTCTTTTCAAACTTTAGGGACACGGGGAACTAAAAGTTAGAAAAGTCTTCCTACTGTTGTTATAAATAGGTTATCCTGATTAGAAAAGAGCTCTTAATAAAGTTGTTGAATGACATCCAGCATGAGAGTATAGCATCAGATTGAGTAAACTTATTGAGTAATTTCAGTGATATTTGAATTGCAGTTGCATTGAGAAGGCAGGAATGGAGAAACTGTACAGATTCTATTCATGAGGTTCTATCTGTGAGGTAAGCTAAAACGATAAATTGTAAAGAATGAACCTTTTACCTCCACATTCAACTTTGCAAGAGCTATCCTCCAAGATGATGATAAAAAAGCAGAACAGAGTTTGTGCAACAGGAAGGGGGGAAAGTACATTTTATTATTGAAATAGAACATTTTAAGAAGATAGGATTGTTGTAATATAAATTATGTACAGACCTTTCATGAATTGAATAATACAACTACAATATTTTTCTTTATATTTGATATTTACAGGATAATCAGATTGTTAGCCGGACTCTCTGAAATATATATATTTTTTTGTCACATGGAAAATGAGCTGTATATTTTTGAATGCTTCTCCACGGACTCCACCTAACCCCCAAAGGTTACACTCACCAGAAATGTGCTTTAAATAACAGGTTTTGCAGCACTGTATTAAAACAAAAACTGAAAAACTTTGACTTACTTATTTGCAAACTTTGGTATGAAGTATGATATGATTAAATCTGTACAGTCACTAAGTATATATTTTTGTGTGCGAATGAACAAGTTTTTCCATTTACATTGTTTGCCAACAAACACAAGCATGTTGATATGCTGCTACGTAAGCCTTGTTCTAATAGGGCTTCAAATGACACCAAACATACTGAATACATGCTCCACTTGAAGATATTTTTCACGTTGAAGGGTTTATCTCAGCACTGATCTTAGGTATATTATGAGGTAATTCTTGATAATGTATTCATTCACGCTTCTCACTGATGTTTTAGTGGAGCTGGGTTTGATTCATTATTTGATTTTTTCTCCCCCTTGGAGGTTTAATGAGTTCTCTCAGAATTTGCCTGCTTTTCTTTGTAGCATTTATTGCACTTGAAGATATTGACTGATTTGTAACACTAATGCTTGTCATTAAATTGTCCATAACATTTGATTTTGTTATTGTTGCAAAGCTGTCCTTAAAGGTATAGTGGAGGATTTTCTTTTTGCGGGTGGATCATCTAAATAAGTGGTCCTCCTAATTGTCAATCATTTTGGTGATATGTGTATATAAGGCCGTCCTACGCTCTGGTCCTCAGTTAGCTGTCTTTTTCTGCACATGCGCACTTTTATGTGCTGAGCTACGGTGTAAGACAGTCATTAAAGCTGACCTTTCTCACCGCAGTTCTTTGAAAATGGCCAATGGTTGTAAAAGAAAAAGTGTCTACGAAGAAGAGAAAGGCCTGAGAAGAGAGAAACAAGACCAGAGTGTTTTTGGGAGATTCTTTCACGCGATGGTGTTCACTGAAAGCACAGGTCGATCTTCCTACTGATGCCTCGGTTGCAAAGTTTCTACTCGACAGGTAAAGTTTGGCATGCTATATGGAGAAATCATTTCACATTATTGCTTGTAAAAGTTATCTGCCTCTACATTGTAACTTTCCATGGAAGATAAGTTTATTATTTTTTTTTGCAATTTGCATTGTTAGATCCTTATTTACCCCGCAAACATGTCCAAATTTCCACTGCAGCAAACAAACACATACAAGCATCTCATGATTTTTTGAATGTACCAGTCCTATTTGCAGGGAAACTTTTTTATATATACATATGAGTGAGATGAGATCCATACGAGCGACAATCTTATTGTGTCCCCGCACATCCTTGAAGAGAAATAGGCTTGTGCACGCTCTAACACTTCACATTGCCACCTCCTCCCGCTCCCTTAGATCCTCCTCCTCCATCCACCTCACTGTACCCCCAGCTCGACTTGTCACCATGGGGAGCAGAGCCTTCGGCCGCTCTGCTCCCCAGCTCTGGAACTCACTTCCTCCCGACCTCCGCAGTATTGACTCTCTCCCCTTATTCAAAGCCAGACTCAAAACCCATCTGTTCCAGCTCGCTTATCTGTGAATATACTGCTCTTTTCCCTATCCATGATTGTTTTTTTTTTTGTTTTTTTTTTTATGTTCCTGTATCTGTATTTTGTATTTTCATCTCTTTTTATTTATTTTTTTGTATTATTTGTAAAGTGACCTTGAGTGTCAAGAAAGGCGCTGTTAAATAAAATGTATTATTATTATTATTATTATTAACACTCGTTTAATAAGCGTTCCCTCTCGGGAGCGGGTACAGGGTTGTGCATGCCCATTTTTTTGAAGACTTGAGATGGTGGTCTTGTCAAAAATTCAAGCAAATCCTCCAATACACCTATAAATCAAGGCTAGAAAAATGCCTGTGTTTAGAGTAAGTCAAATCATTCCTCAAGATCCCTGGTTTTGTTTTCCGGGGGTTGTTTTAACCTGCCATCGGTAGGCATCAATTCTTTCCTCAACACTGTAGAGAGCAATTTAGCATGTGTTTTGACTCCTGTTTTGGCTCCCAAGGGAGCTCTTCAGCATGTGTTTTGGCTTCCGAGAGAGAACTGCTGCACAGTTTAGTGCATGTTTGGGAATTTTCCCTCTTATTTACTGCAGCTGTTCTTAAAAAATTAATATTAAGATTTTTTCTGGGAAGAGTAGCCAAGGAGCCTTCCGCAGAGTTGGAGCCGGTAGGAGCAGGTAGAGCCGGATTACCCAAGAATGATGCTGTTAAACAATCTGAATGCTGACTAACAATGAACTAATTTCTATCAACAGCTAATAACCTGTTCACCCAGAAGTCAAGAGATGATTTATACACACATGGAAAAAAATGTTGATACCTAATTGTTTAATGAAAGAAAACCCACCACAAGAAAACCCAACTGGCAAAAGCAATAAAAAAATAAAAAAAAACTATAAAAATGGACAAATGAAAAAGAGGCACTGCTTTTCGACAATGCTTTAATAGAATCATTAAAAAAATAAACTCATGAAATAAGACTGGACAAAAATGATGGAACCCATAACTTCATATTTTGTTGCACACCAGTTTGAGGCAAACGCTGCAATCAAACGATTGCTTAGTGTTGAAATGCCTATGGATATAAACTTGTTGATAAATTATTATTTTAATTAACACAAAGAAAGGGTAAGGAGCTACAACTTTCTTACGGTGCAAAGCTGCAAAGTTCTTCCTACTGGCAGAACTTTCTCTTACGGCCAAGGTTGCAACTATCGCACAGGAACCTTGGAGGCTGGCATATTTGGCGCAGTAACCTTGGAAGCTGGCGGCGCAGCTTGAGACCCACTAAGAAGTAGCACCAGGGCCGTACGCAGGGCCCAAAAAATACTGAGGTCAGGACACTTACTTCTAGGTTTTCTGCATCCAAGAAAATGTTTGTGATTCCATTATTTAAGTTTGGTCATTCTCAGTCTTAAGCAGCAAAAACATCATAAATATGTCTTATGAATAGGCTAGGCGGGGCAGTTCTCTGTTCCTCTTAACCTGACAGACATTTCAGGCATTACAAACTTGTTAACTTGATCTCAAGTTTCTTTTGAAGCTTCTATCAAAGCGGTTAGAAATGTGTCACAAAAG